TAAATAAATAAATCTCAATAATGGCACAGCTCTGGACAGCAGCAATGGCTATCTCTGTGGAGGTCAGGATGGAGGGCTGCTCAACACCACACACCTTCTGTGCTTTATATTTTGCTATGTGCACGTGCTATTAGTCTAGCTTCATCACACTACTTACTGAAACATGGTCCCGTCAACAGGCAAGCCACCTTGTCCATCCCAGTTGAAGTGGATGACTATCTCTACCATCAGCACTAGACTGGCCTCCTCTAGCCTGGACACCAAGTACAGTGTAAAGCAGGGAAGTCCCCTGCCTTCTTTTCACACAAGCTCCAGCCTTCCTGGATGCTGTTCTGGCACTAATAGTCCAAGGGGAAAAGCTGCAGTCCTCACAGGGAAGTTACATGCTCCCAGACTCTAGTGTCAGCCAGCAATATCCAGCCTCACAGCAGACTGTTACACTCTAGTCATTCTGCTCTTTTTGTTACCCACCACCCTTCTGCCTTGTGATTAAATGACTTCTTCCAAGAGGTGAGTGCATACTCTTCCTCAATAACCTGGAGGCACAATGACAAAGGAAGGAGATCCAAGTCTCTCTTCCATTGAGCCCTGAAATACCAGGGAAACACATCTCATTATAGCCTCAAAGGGATGGAATCAAGATGGAACGCGATCAGTTACGGGAAATGCCTACTCTAATAACCAACACGAAGCAGCTGTCCAATAAGTGTCAGACACATCTCCATCATCCCACCACCATCATCGGTATTATTAACTGCTTCTCACTGAGAAAGGGCAATGCTTGCAAACTGCCCGGCTGATACATTTCCAGCTCTCTTTCTGAGGACCTGCTTGCAAGCAGTGCAGAATGACAGAAAAGATGGGCTGTAGAGTCGGAGAGGCTTTGCCTTGAATGTGTCCTTAACAGCAGTTTCATTAGCTCTAAGCTAAGGATAATTATACCTCCTCGCTGGCCCAGGGAGATGATCCACAAGAAGCACCCTATAAATGCTGTCTATATCCTGGCTGTTGTTCCAAGGGGACTTCTCTGCTCACTGGCCAGCACATGCTTACCCTCGTTGGCCTTTGCATCTCTACCCTGTCCAGTTTTCCCTGCCTACCCTGCCTTCTGTTACCATCTCCAGCTCTGGAAACTTCCATGCCACTTTCTAGTCTCCATTCCATCCGAGAGCTTCTGTGAAGCTTTCATTGACCACAATGGCTTTTCTTACCTCTGAACTCATAAAGTATTTAGCTTGTGTGGGGAAATGGAGGATCCCGAGATCTCTCCTCTGACCACGGTTAGCCCTATTAGAGATGAAAAAGTCTGCCGGTAATGGGCAGAAAGAACTCCAGTCACATGTGGCCAGAGAGCAGTTTCCCAGGGAACTTTCTCCCCAGAAACGAGTGAATCTCCAGCTCCCTGAACTGCAATCTCTGGCTCTTTCCTTTCAGTCAGTGCCTGCTGCTTGACCCAGGAGTGTCTCAGAACAGAAAGTGGTCAGCTGGTTCACTGACAAAGGCTGGGACGTCTAGCGTATGGACAGGCAACTGGTCCCCGGGACGCCAGCTGATGTGCCATGAGCCACTGCTGCTTCCATGTCCCTGTGGGCCTGACTCCAGATTGAGCCTCTGCAGTGCTGCAGGTTCTGAGCGCAGAGGCCACGGCCAACTCCTCAGCTCAGCGCCCAGGACTCGCGCGGTCTGGCCGCACTCGCTGGGCCAGCTTTTCTTCTGCAGCAGCCAATGGACACTGCCGGCCTGGCCCCAGCCCACCCCACTTTCCACCTTCTACTGTCCCTGCTACTTGAAATGTCCTTCTTCAATGTTTCTGCCTCATGAACACGGGCCGCTCATGCCCTACACCCGGCTCAGAGGCGCCCTCTCTGCAGACACCCTGCCACCTCTACCGGAGTTCATGCCCTGTCCTTCCTGGCCCTCTGTTGCTGAATTTCTCACATAGTCAGCACTGCCATCTGCTCAGTCCTCTAACCCAGGCAAGACCTGAGCATGCGAGGCCAAGAATGACTTTTCGAACCTCTGGGTCTGCCCAGCAAGGTGTCTAAAACCAACAGACTTCATTTAATGAATTAAAGAATAAGGCAGGATCAAATGAATGAATGGTGTGGTTTCTAAACCAAAGACAACATCCACCCAGCCTGCCTTGCAAGTAGTATCTGGAGCTTACCTGGGAGTGGGTAGGGGAGGAATCACATGTTGCTACAGAGCTAAAGTGGGTGCTTCTGTGGGTGAGGGAGGGACACGCCAAAAACAATCCCCCCCCCCAAAAAAAAGAAAACACTAAGCCAGAGGGAACTTTCATTTCTATATTTCTTAGACTACTGTTCTCCTGCACTAGTCTGATTTCCATAGAAATATGTTAAAATAGTTTACAAAATTATACTTAATATTTAAACTACTAAGTAGCTATAATCCCAAACTGGAAAATCCCACATCCCACAATGAAGCACCATCTCCAAGATTTTTCCCTATGGAAATGAATGAGCAATCCAATTATTCAGCATCATGTTTAGGCCTGGCGCTCGTGACACAGATTCCTGCCCACCTGTTTATTTTCTGTCTAATTTGGTTCCTTTGTATCCTATGAACTTCAGTGACCCATGTGGAGTAGAGGAATCATCCTGCTAAGACTTTCTCTGGAAGGTCCATGGAAGTGTGCTAAGCAAAAAAATATATGTGCGTATTTTATCTATCTATACATATATTTACATATATCAATTTTTCAATCCAGGCAGAATGTGTATATACCATATACCCCCAAAAAATCCTGGAATCCTGTTTTTTAAAGTTAGCCAAAGAGCTTTGCCATTTTCTGTAGGAAATGCCTCACCTACTATATCCTTTCTACTGCATTTCATGGCAGGACATTTAAGAAGTCAAAGATGCTTAAACTTGCCTACACTATTTAGTTCATATTTGTTCACTGCTTCATACAGGCCAAGTGCAGTGCTAAGAACTGCACATGCCCTCAACCCTGGCAGGCTTTTACTCGAGTTTCATATAAGGGTGCCAAAGCACAGAGAGACCAATCATGGCTTCTGGGGGCCAAAGTATACTTGAGGTCAAGCCCACTGATTTCCCAAGTCTGAAAGTGTAACCATGACCGTGGGCACATTTAACAAAAAAAAAAGTGATGGCCCCTGATTTCTTGTTCAACAAGTTTGTCTAAGATGCCTCATTCCTACACAAGTCTCATAAGCTCTTAATCATTTAGACAATTTATACTACATTCACAGAGAATTCTGGTTTTTTTTTTTAAAAAATCTAATGGATATTTAAAAATACGGTTCAAGTTCTCATGTACAGACAGATATATTGTCAAACTTTTTTAAAGTCCCATTAGAAAGCAAGACATTTGGTGTCCTCGTGACCCACATTTTTAGAGGCTGGTATAAATGTCTTCGGCAGGTGTAAATGGCCATCGCTTTGGTTGCTAGAAACACTTGTATTCCGTGTTCCACTTGCCACAGCCAAGCAGTTGTGTTTCCCAAAGTTGCACGTTTGGTCAGCAAACACTGAGTAAGCATGACCCTACATGAGACAGTGCTGGACAGCACACGGACGCTGGGAAGGACACGGTCCTGGCTCTGAAGGAGCTCAGGGCCCCTATCAGCCCATAACATTAGGTCCATAGGTATGCACAAGATAAGAATTTCAGAAGAAAAAGAAGTCATAATCACCTTGAATATATCAACTAGCTTTACTGAGAAAGGCTCTCAATGACCCACTTCTCACCTCCTGCCTCTGGCATTCCTGACCAGTGTTTGGAACTCTAGGCCTGTGATGAAACGTTGATGCAAGAAGCCACAGGCCAATTGCCAAGGGCAGAGCTAAAGACACGTGTGAGGCACCCTGGGCACCCACCAGCACCACTGACAGTGAGCTGACTGTTATCCCCAGTGAGGAATACCAGGCACCAGGAAGTGGAGGCAGTGGGCCCCTTCCACCTTCTTAGGCAGCCTTTCCTCCTGGTTCCTGGATCCCTCAGAAAGAACTCTTTGCATTTGTAATAAGTTAGGTTTAGGATGCCTTCAGCTTCTGGGCTGCTGGGGCTATGTTAGGGGGCCTATCCCTAAGGTGTGGGCCAGAAGAGTGTGGGATGGGTCAGAAGAGTGGACAATGGGGGGAGAAGATAGTGACCTGGAGGTTGGGAGGAGGAGCCAGGCGCTTCACACTGACAGTTGCCTCACAACTGTGCAAGGCACTACCCAGCTTTTAGGGAAAAGCAAAGTATGTGCTAAGCGTGGGTAGGAGGCAGATAGAGATTCTGGAAAATTCCAAGGAGATTTTAAGCACTCGGGAAGTGGGTGGGCCCAGCTGCACTTTAGGGCTTCTTTGCTGCCGAGCTGGGGCAAGTGCTGTTATTCTATGGGGCGCTCAGTGGTTAGGGTTTAGGGTGCCTCAGGTGAGGACAGAACGCTTTAAAACTTCTGCCTTCCTAAACCGCTCTCCCTGCATTTCAGAGAAGCACCCACTGGTGTGTATCCTTCAGGGCAGCAAATCCAGTTATTCCGCTCCTGATTCGTGACTCATTCCTGAAGTAATGAATGGTCCATTAAATTAAGTTTGGGCGTCTATCTCGCCACAGCTACCTCCCAGTCGGCCCTGCCAGCGGGGAGGCCCTAACCTGGGCTGCAGCCCGCCGCCCGGGATTCCCTCCCTGCGCCACCTCCCCGGCTCCCCTCTCTCCGCCCCTCCCCCAGGCTGTTTGGGAGATTAGAGTTCATTAATTAAATCCTGTGCTTAGATCGAACTGTAACATTATTCCAATCACATTTATCTTGCAGGCGGCGGCAGAGGAGGTGGCAGCCTCACTGGAAACGCGCGGGGGAGCCTGAGCCTGCGGCCCGAGACGCACTGCGCGGCGCGCTCCATCGCCACGCTGCAGCGCAGACCCTCCATCTTCCTGCTCTGCCTCCCGGCCGGCTCGCCCCAGCCTCGGGGTCCCGCTTCTCCCGCGGGCTCGGCCCGCCCCACCCCACCCACCCCACCCTCGGCCCTCCGCGGCTCCTCAGCCGGTCTCCCTCCCCCTCCACACACGCTGACACGCGCGCACGAACACACACACACACTAACACGCCAGCGAGCTGCTGGCTGCTCAATGGACCGAATTCCCCGCTTTCCTTGATCCCAGCCCGGCCCGGAATGAAAAATTGCAAAATGGCCCGGGTCGCCAGTGTGCTGGGGCTGATCATGCTCAGCGTCGCTTTGCTGATTTTATCGCTCATCAGCTACGTGTCCCTGAAAAAGGAGAACATCTTCACCACTCCCAAGTACGCCAGCCGGGGGGCGCCCCGAATGTATATGTTCCACGCGGGATTCCGGTGAGTGCGGGCCTCTCTGAGCCCAGGGTTATCTGGTCTACGGGAGGTGGGGGAGGGGTGTGAGGGGAGGTTGTTTGGCTTCTGGGAGACAGTTGGGGCAAGATAACTGCGTGGTCCTTCCACTCCCTTTTGACTCTCCCTGCCCCCCTTCTCTCTCTCTCTGTACCTACGTTTATACCTACGTTTTTAACCCCAAGCCCCTAAAAAGCCTTCGGACTAATGGATGCGATTGCCTTTTCTCGTACTCTTCCTCGGCATCCCTTCCCCTATTTCAGAAACAGGAGGAGGGTTGAAGAAGAGTGATGGTGTAGGGAGAGGCCATGCGTGTGTTTGGGGGGGGGTGCTGAACGCGAACACGGACCCGCGTGAGGTGAGCGTCCTGTCCGCAGACTCGGCGGCTGGTGCTCTGGAGCGGTCCAGGGGCAATTTAATGGCGCAGGCGCCGGACTTCCTCGCGTTCCTCCCCACTCTCTCTCCCTCCCCCACGCAACCCACACCCCATCAAATGATGCGCGGGTCTCTGCTCACAAAGTCCCTGGGGTATTCTACCTCGATCCTTCCTCCCAACACCATCCCCCAACCCCCACTTTCCGGGATTTCTGCAATTCCCCCGCCCTCTGCGGGAAGTGAGCCTCTTAAGGGCCGCCTACCCTCGCTCCTGGTCGAAGTCACCGAGGAGCTCGGGGCTGGACTGGGAAGGCGCCTGGCACTGCTAGAAGCAGCTCATCGAGAAGCCCTCCCCCTACCTGTGACCCCTGGAAGCTCTCTTGTCAGGGCCTCCTGAGGGGCGGGTGGCAAATATAAACTGTAACTCGTGGTCAAGTCAGGCCAGAGGGGTGGAAACCTAGACAAGCCCCACCTGGGCAGAAGAGCAGAGCTGGCCGGCGGCCTCCGCGGGTCCCCCGTCAAAGGATGGGAAATGAAATTCGACTTAGGCTCGGGAAAGAAGAGGTTAAGGCTGGAGCCATTCTCAGCCTTCCCCTGGGTCTCGGGTTTCCAGTACCCTTCTCCAAAAATCAATCACCCGGACCGCTGGGGCCTGAAGGGTCCAGCTCGGCTGTGGCGCGTCGCTGTCCGCGGTGCTGACTCCCTGATCCTCGCTGTGCTTAGGGCTCTAGCCGTGCTCCCGGGCTCCCGCCCCTGCTCTCGGCGAGACGGCCATTTTATGGTCTCTCCCGCACCCGAGGGATGGACAATGGAGACGTATTTCTCTAGTTTTCTTTCTTCCTCCAGGGTGTGTGTGGGGAACTGAGGGTATACTAAATGAGCGGGGGATCTGGGGTAGGATGGAGCCAGCACGTGTGCCAGCTGCCTTCCTCTCCCCACCCCCAGCGGGTTGGACTTTAATGGCTACTTTGGCTTACCCCAGCTGAGGCCAGCACGTTTGTCTGTACTCACACTCCTCTCCAGGTCACAATTTGCACTGAAGTTTCTAGATCCATCATTTGTGCCCATTACGAATTCTCTGACCCAGGAACTCCAAGAGAAACCTTCTAAGTGGACATTTAATCGGACAGCGTTTTTACATCAAAGGTAGGATAGGCAACCCGAGATAAGTCATTATATCTTCCCTTTTGGTGGGATTATTATACTGCTAAATGTAATATGAGCCATCTAATCTACTCAGTAAGGGTGTGAATATTTATTCTACAAATGATCCAAAGATGATTTGACTTCTGGAGCTCAAAAAACAAAACAAAGCAATCCAAAACAATAATCTCTCACTCACCCCAGGTGTATGAGCACTGTCATCTTGACCTGACTGTACAAAGGCTGATTGGCAACCTGCTTTCATGTATTTAGTGCCCGCTAATAAGAAGAGAACATAAGAACATTAATTTCAATAGACCAAAAAAAAAAAAGTATCTTCAATGTCTTACCTAATTTGGGCTTAAATTGAACACCATGATTTACAGTTAACAAGTATGGCTAATATTCCCAAGCCATGTCATGTATTTAACCAAAAATGTTAATTGCAAAATAACCACCAAATGCATTTTCACTCACTCGCTGAAAAAAAAGTATTGTCTCCTTGGAACATACCAAAAATGCTATAATCCATCTCTATCAGATTAGTAGTGAAAATCTTAGCCTGAATTTGTGCAGGTATTTATATATGGTTTTGTTTTCCTTCTGACTGTTTGCTTTAGTTAAGCCTTTACAGTGTTGAACATGTCATAAAAGCTACCAACATCATTCTTATTAGTTGTCTTAGCGTATCCTCATTTGTGCATGAAGGAGTGTGTGTGTGTGTGTGTGTATTAGAGGTTAAGGAAGAAGGATGAGATTTATCCACTTTATTTATTCTCTTCAATGTTTCTGGCCTACTTTTAGCAACCCCAGATAAGTCATTTCACCTTCTTTCTCAGTGGAATTATTATACTGCTAAATGGATTGTGAGCCATCTAGTGTACTCATTAGGAGTGTGAATATCTTTTCTATCATGTAGGGGATTGTGTTTTGGTTATGTATTTCTAGAAACTGCATGCTCCTTTTTATTGTGACCTAATGACAGAATAAAGACAAACTCAGTTGATATCCAAGGTATTATGAAATGTTGTTTACTTGGAAAAGTGATAGACAAGTATGTGATAATTATTGTAATATTCTAACCATGGTTTAACTAGAAGTTAGTCCATGATAATTGAAAACCCCCGAAGTTATTTTTTAACTGTTGGTTTTTAACCCAATAATCATTTGATAGACAGGTCAGAAAACTTCCATGGGAAGAACATATTATATCTTTCCCTAAAACATGTTTCTGGCTCATTAAAAACATTCATTCCACAATCGTCCATGTGACCCAATGACCTCTCAAAACAGTATTTCCTTTCAATAGCTTCCTTCCTTTCATATCTTTAATTTTCCCAATATCATTTTGAGCTTTGTCTTTGTTGTGACAACTTGTAAAGAACAGTATTGGTAACTTTAAAAGTTTTAGGTTAAGGTTTTCAGTTTATATTCCTCTGTATCTTGACACATGCAGTAATATTTCAAAATGACAGGTAAAGTGATAATATATAAGCATTTAGTTTTATCCCTGCTACTTTTTAGGCAAAACATAGATGATATTCAATAGGATTTCTTAAAATAGAAAAATCTAATAGCAAAATAGCAAGGTACTGGTCTCTCAAATATTTTATGTCACTAAGACTAAGAGGTGTTTAATTTACTTCAAGCTTACTATGACAGCAACTTGAAATTTGTACTAAGTACTAAACATGCCTTATTTATTCTCTGAATTCATCAAAATTCTGAAAATGTGTATTCTAATAGCCTGATTTTCTAATGATTAGATTTCTCCAAATTGTGTTTCTACATAATCAAGTAGGAAAATATCTCTGTTCCATTATTCAAAGAACTTTAGTAAGATCATCTTATTTCTCTTAAATATTCACCTATACCCACTGCTGGTAATATTTTCATTTTAATAACAGATAATAATACACTGACTCATAGCTATTTGGCTCATATTTGGACACCAGGGATATTTGATATTCCTTGAACACTGCAGTCCAATAGCAAACAAGTAGTGCTAGTTACAAACTCTAAGTCACCTGTGTTTATGCACTAATGTGACCTCTTTGCTACCTGTATTTCCTGACAGCTTGGCCAATGCCTCCCCCCATGATCAAATACACTATTCACAGGAAACAGAAAACCAAGGAATAGCAGGTACAGCTACAAGGTAACCACATATATACTGCCAAGGGTTGCTTCTCGAACTTGACTGAAAGAAATAAGCACAAATCTATAAATTCTCCTGAAAGACCACAACTATTACAAATGTATACTCTCACTTGAACTTGGTTTGCCTACATTTCTGGTCTGAATGAAATGGCTGCATAAAACAGAAAATGAAAAAATCAATTATTTAGAATGGGATGCATTTAATGAATTTCTTTTTATTTTAGGCAAGAAATTCTTCAGCATGTCGATGTAATAAAAAATTTTTCTTTGACCAAGAATAGTGTTCGGATCGGACAACTGATGCACTATGATTATTCCAGCCATAAATATGTTTTCTCTATTAGCAATAACTTCCGATCGCTGCTTCCAGATGTGTCACCCATTGTGAATAAGCATTATAATATCTGTGCTGTGGTTGGAAATAGTGGTATCCTGACAGGGAGCCGGTGTGGACAAGAAATAGATAAGTCAGATTTTGTTTTCCGTTGCAATTTTGCCCCTACGGAGGCTTTCCAAAGAGATGTTGGAAGGAAAACCAACCTTACCACGTTCAACCCCAGCATCCTGGAAAAATATTACAACAATCTTTTGACCATTCAGGACCGTAACAACTTTTTCCTCAGTTTAAAAAAGCTCGATGGGGCCATTCTTTGGATCCCTGCATTTTTCTTCCACACTTCAACAACTGTTACCAGGACATTAGTTGACTTTTTTGTTGAACACAGAGGTCAGTTAAAGGTCCAATTGGCTTGGCCTGGAAATATAATGCAGCATGTCAACAGGTGTGTATATTTTATTGCCTTTAACTCATACCCTGCCAGATGGCAAATCAATATTGTAATCTCTTGGGGAGGGGGACAATCCAATGAGTTAGCTGTTGTGGTTACCTTAGTCCTTTAGAGCAGACTCTTACATTTTGTTGTGAATGAATTAATCATTCTAGGTAAGGAGTCCTAAGTTAAGAAGTTCAAGCTCTACCAAGTGCCAAAGGGAATGACTGAGGAGCGACTGCTAGAAACTGATAGAAATCACCACAAATCAAGAGTTTGCTTTATATGGATAGCTATGCCTCCTGAAATGCTAAAATGGACAGATCAAGAGGTTTTTTAAAGAAGATCCAATTAAAATATCCTTTGTATTTGATGGTGGTTTTATAGCTGTCCAAGATTAGCAAGCCTCCCAAGTAAATCATAACTGTATAATATGTCTTGACAATTTGAGATTTGAGTGCTGAAACATGTAAAAGTACCTTTTGAGCTCCTTGTTGTCCCTTGTCATTTGATAGACAGCTGGACCAGAGATGCAGTATTTTTATCTATCTGATGAATCGCTAAGTCTGCCTAAACATTGGAATCACTTAGCTTTAAAAATACTGTTGCCTGGACCTACTTCAGGAGATTCTAATGTAGCTTGTTTGGTCAGGGAGCAAAAGGGCCCAGGTACTTGGTATTTTTTAGCAATTCCCCAGTTGATTCTAATATGCAGTCATAACTGGGGCTTCGAATTAGTAGCATTTTAAAATGCAGGCTTACTTTGGGATTTTTTTACTTTTAAATCTCCTGAGTATATTGCCTTGACTGTGATTTCTCCTTTTCAAGTAGCCCCAATGTTCTAACATACTGTCCAAATATTACTGTAAGTCAAAGTGAGTGCTGGGTGGCCTAGTAAATAGGAAATTCTAAAGATTTCTAGCCCATAGCAGATTATTCCCATCCGATAGTCCCTTAAAGTCTTCCATTGTAAGATTTGTTCAGTTGGCCTCTCATTGAAGGAGTCTAGTGAACCGATAAGCATCTAGCACCTAGGATAAAGCCATAATTTACAGTGCAAACTGAAACTTTCCTTGAGCGAAAGGAGCCACTAATAATCATTACCACTGGGTTAACAGACAACAGGATCTCTTTAAGAGATAAAGTAGCCAAATCCTGAGCTTAAAGTCATGTCAACTGAGACACAGCATGAAGGAATTCTTTACATAAGGTCACTGCCCCAAATGGGCTGAGTCAGCATTAGAAGCTGGGCCCCTACCAATCTGTCCTGAGAATTGTCAGAATCATTCTAACTCCTTAAGTGAGAAGTGAAAACCAAGACTGAGCTTTCAGATGTCAACTGGAAGGGGTAAGATCTGTCTTTGAAGCCTTCAAATAGTGAAGAAAGGACTGGGTGGTCTTGGAAACTTCAGAAACTAGCTGGTGTGGCCTTTCGGAAGCAGCCCGGGGGGCTGACCACAATACCAACCGCCACTCAGTTTGAACCACAGAAACTTGGTCAGCAAAGCCTCGACAGAAATACTGTCTATAGAAACCTGATTCATAAACGAGTTAATTTTGCCAGTGATGAAAACAAACACCACCCAGAGCAGTCACAAATATTTGACAGTGTAGACAGAATGGCTTCAAATTATTGTCTAAGTGGGGAGAAGCAGCCACCTTCAGTTAGCTTTGCTGAATTCATGAAGCATGCAGATACTTTTCTTAGGTCTTTGGAATGCTAAAGGAGACTTGGAGTCCCTCACTGGAAGACAAAGAGGCAGCAAGTATGATTGTTTTATAAGAAGGTGGAGGAAAAACAGGGCCCCACAATCTTCCTAAACCCAAGGATTTAAATTATAGGCTTGGGTATGGAAGTCACAGAGGTACCTCTTAGATTAAGCAACTGCCACCTCACACCAAGGGCCCTTAATATGTGAGAAGCAAGGTTATTCTGTGCCCCCACCACCGAGTCAGAGGCCCCCTCTAGGACAACCCAGAGCAGGGCTGGCCTCAGGCATGTACACCTATGCACAGAAGGCCCAGCACAGGGCTTATATCTGCACATGGTGCACTCCTGAAAGTCTCAGGAGTTGTTAAAGGAAAGCCCACGTGTTCAGTTTGCAACAAGTCTCACAAATCCTGTAGCCAGTCCCGCCCAGACGTGTCATGTGGGCCACAAGTCAGATTCTGACCAAGACTTATTTGAGTACTGTGGACACATCCACCCCTCAGCCCAGTCACATTGCCCTATCTGCTGGAAACATTCAGCACTGGCCTCTGAACCCACCTGTACTTATTGTTCCACAGGTACTGGAAAGACAAACATTTGTCACCCAAACGGCTGAGCACAGGTATCCTTATGTACACCCTTGCATCCGCAATCTGTGAAGAGATCCACTTGTATGGATTCTGGCCTTTCGGATTTGACCCCAACACCAGGGAAGAACTTCCGTACCATTACTATGACAAAAAAGGAACCAAATTTACCACCAAATGGCAGGAGTCCCACCAGCTACCTGCTGAGTTTCAGCTGCTGTACCGAATGCATGGGCAGGGGCTCACCAGGCTGTCGCTGTCACACTGTGCCTAAGAACTCTAAACAGAAAGTGCCAATGGCTGCTTAAGAAGTGCCCCAAGTCAGATTGAATAGTCTTCAGAATAGAACCCTAGAGAATTTCTCCTAAGGATTGTCGGCCATTTAAAAGGAAGGATGTCTTCTCTCCCTCTTTGTACGGCTCTCTCCAGGGTCTTAGCAGGACAGAGGCATGGAGGCCTCATGGTTCAAACTTGACTGAGAAAAGGAAGGTTGCATTTGGAACTGTGCTGCTACTGAAATGGTCTGAAGTATTTTCATGTTTGTATTTTAATAATAAACTGCCTCCCGTTTTTTAGGAGGATGAGAGCTGTAGTTTCTGCAGCTTTGCTCAGATACAGTCCTCATAACCAGAGGCTTCTGGCCAATTTGGGCAGGATCTCAGTTTTGCCTGGGTGGGATGAGACTCTTCAAAATGGAAACATAAAACCTATAGTTTGCATATCTCCCTTCTCTCCTTCTCCCTCCCTCCTTCCCCTTCTTTCTCCTTCCCTTTCTCTACCCTTAAAGCCACTCCTCTTACCCAACCACCATGGAGTTTAATAATTTTCTAGGAATCCTATTGAACTAGCTTTGCTTGTATCTGTTGCATCTGTACTTGATGTGTTCAAGGTTCTGGGTAACTTTGATATTTCACGACAAACCGAGCAAATCATGACAGATCCCTCATGACTACTTTTATAAGAAAAGCCCCTTACCAAGTCCTCACTCACCCATGCAGTCATATGATGGAAAAGTGGTCTCTCCCTGAGAGTGGCCCAGAATGGAACGCATCTTTCCCTTCCCAAAGAAAGCCTGTGTCACAGGTGGCTGTCTTCTGACGTGAGAGCTAATATAGCACATCACTGTGTTTGCCATACCCGCAAAGGCATTCCAGCCAGGCTTAGTGCCTCCCACTTACCCCAACCCAAGGGCTGGGTGGCAAATTCTCTCTCAGATTATAAAGGCAACGAGCCAGCTTAAGAGCCTGGGATATACAGAAGGAAAGGAAGGAGGTGTTTAGAAGTTGCTCTGGAATCCTGATTACCATCAGGTGTTATAATCAGGTTTTCCACTCAGAACCTTTGGGAACCACAGGGCTAGAGTCCCTTGGAAGCACTGGTTGGCCAGGGCAGGCCACCATGTGACTAATGCAAGATGGCCTCATTTTCAGTGTCGTATGTCCACCAGCACTGCTCCAGGCCGTTTGTTCTCTTTAAGACAACTGTAGACACTGGATGTTCCTTCTACAAATGAAATATTGCAAAAGGTAGAGCTACTGTGTAGTGGCAAGGTCTGGTACTATCAAACTATGGAAGTTAAGATGTGTGGACCAACCATAAACTAGTTGACCATTCTCTTCTTCATTACTTCAGTCTCAGAAGTAGAAATGACATCACTCTCATCTCTGGCTTTTCACTGAGCAGCACTTTGTTCTTCCAGTTGAGCCCAAAGTCTGGCCAAGTTGATGTTAAATTTTAATAAGAGTTTCTTTCTTCTTTCCAAATGCCAGTCAAGCACATTTGTAATACATTTGGGTGGGGTAGCTTGTTCTTTTCCAGAAAATCTCATCTAGATTGCTTGCAAATACTATTTAAAATGATTGCTGGAGTCCAGCAGTCAGCTCACGGTCCCTCTTTGGGAAGGTATAATCATGCCTAAAATTAAACCAAATGCAATCAGGAAAGACACTGTTCCTATGTGCATGTTCTGCTTGGTCCTAAAGGAGAACTCTCCTGTGATGTTTGGTTTGGTTTTGTTTTGTTTCCAGAAAGCTAATCAGAACAGCTTAGGTAGATCCAGATATTAACAAATGACAGGAAAACCATTCATGTTCAATATGTCAACAACTGGGACACATCTTCCACCCTGTATAAATGGCAGTCACCAATGTGCATAGGAAGAAATAGGAATAGATGCTCCAGAGTGGGAAATACTAAAACAGCTCAATACTTGAAATCACCAGAAAGGGAGAAATCAAAAACATCTTTAAATTCAATGGTGGGACTTGATGGGCGTCAACGCCACACCACGTTTGTTCCTGTGACTTTGAAGAGGACGGACTGTAGCCTTCGTATTGTCCTCTGTCAAGATCACTGTTAACTGGCCAGTGTCTCGTTGGCTCTTCCTAAGCACTTAGTACATTTGGTTACAGCAAAGCGATGTTCATGCCAATACTACGTTGGCCAGACTCTGACTCTGGAGTTTTCATCCCAATGTGCCCATTAGATTTCACTACATATGAATGTATTGACACTTTAAACCAGGCAGTTTAAAAGAGCAAAAGACTAGAATTCCTGAAAGCCAGTTAATTGTTCTATGGTAGACACTTTAAATTAGCTCTCATCATTGTGCCAAGTTTGTTGGGTTTTGTTTTGTTTTTTTTTCCTCCCCAGTTCAGGGAGATTTTTTAAATCTCATTTCATTCTTGGCTCCATCTTAAGTTTAGAGGAAGGACATTTTCACTGTCTGACACCATTTCATCTATTACTTTAGCAAGAACTCAAAATGTTGAGGAAACAGACATGTCTCCCAGAACTCAAAGAGTTCAGAGGTCAGGCTCATCCCCAGTTTCCAGGCAGGTCTTCCTGGCCTTGAGCCAAAAGAACCACCCTTTACTTTTCTTTAAAAATCTCTGAAACAAATGCCAAGCTCTCTCATAGTAGTTACCCACAACTCCCGCAACTTATAAATTCTTTATATATAGCTATGTCCCTCCCATTGCAAATATTAGAGGTGATATTTCAGTAATTAGACCTTGCATTGTTACTTTTATTGTTAGTAATGTCCTAGACCTACAGTTCCAGCATAGAGAAAAAAATGCCTCTGGCTGATCATACAAAGTTTTTGTTTCTAAAGATCACTTCAGAGATTAAACCCAAATAACCATCATTACTACTAGAAGAATTGGTGGGCCCTGTAAGACCTGGTTAGAAAGATGACAGTGTAACAGAACTTCCAGGCCTGTGTGCTCAAAGGTAGGAATTGGGTGAGACATCTCTGGGTCTCCCTCATTCCTGATTCAATTATAAAGAAATACTCAAGCCTTTGCACCAGGCTTGCTGTATTGGTACAAGGCTAATAAATGTGTCCTTTGATCAGAACCTATTCTTTTTTAGGATATAGCAGAATCCATCCTCAGCTATTGGAACCAAGTTCATATCCCCCTTGGTAAATATAGTTTACTGATGGTTGACAATTGTGATCATATCCAATTACCTATTCATCCCAACAAAGCCTTGTTTTAGTAACATGTATGCATAGTTTCAAGTGGGTATCTATATACCACTAATACAAATGATCACTCAGTTGCAACAGGTAAGATCCACACACATCTAACAACCTGTTTAATGTTAGCCCCCTCACCACCATTGGTTGCTCTGAATGTCATGTGCAAACAGATAGATCCAGGGTAGACAGAACTAAAATGTGATACCAAGAATTCCTCCCATAGTCTGAAATCTTGCCCATATTTGATAATTAAAATGTCAATGGTTCCTCTGCTTCTGTTTCTGTGTCTTAATGTCCTTAACCATTGTAAAAGCGCTGTGCATTTCATAGTGTTTTGTGCGTAGCAATGCTGTGCCTACTAGGCCATCTGTCTGTGACCCTGGCATCAGTACCCAACCATGGGGTACCAGCCAGGATGTGCAAAGCTCCCTCAGCCTCTCTGGTCCAGCCCCATTTATTGAGGAATGTGAGTGCCAGGGCTAACGAAATGTGCCAGCAAAACTAAGGAGTGGAAAAGCATTTCTTCTGACTTTGGGCAAGGCATTAATTATTAGACATTCCCAGAGAGCAAAAAGGTATTGACTTGAAGCCAAGAGTAGCAGAATTGTAGATCCCTACGCTACTGGAAACAAAAGATCCTGTGAGCTTCTATAGTGCTGGGTCTCAACTTTGCAAATGAAAAGTGGAGAAACAGAGAGTAAGTTTCCAAGATCACATAGTAATCAGTGGAGAAATGACTCCTCATCTAGTAATTCTGACTTTAACAGCATCAACTGACCATAGATGGACTCAGAGAAAGTGATTTTGGTACGAGTTCCACAAGACAGGCACAGAAAGTAAAGTAAGTTAGAAAAGCTGTAGAACAGGAGCATTATTCTCTTTCCCTCAAAAAAAAAAAATATATATATATATATGATTTAGGTACACACACACACACACACACACACACACACATATATACTTCAATGCAAAACAATAACAGGAAGTACCTGCCTCAGTAAACAAGAGTCTACTGTTAATGTACCAGTCCACTGGCAATATTCTCCCCTGGAATGCTGAATGAGAGAAACCCCCCTTCGTAAATCATGGTTATGATTAATCACAATTCATTGATGGACAGTTTACAGTGGACACCAGAGTCACATCCAATGATCCCATCTTCTTAACAAAACTTTGTTTCCATAACACGTATGCATAATCTGAAGGTTAAATATTGGGAATGACTATGCACTTCTCCGTAAGTGTAATTTTCAGCAACTGAAGTAAGAAAATACCTTTATCGATACCTTCCGTGTTGTAAGTAATTTCAACAGCAAACCTTGTGTTACTGCATTTAGTTCAATATGCTAAAGTGTACAGATAATAATTTGGGCTGGGTCTTCATGTGCCAAATGACAGATTGAGCAACTTCCTGTGTGATTTTGGATCCTTAAATCCTTTTTTCCAATTGTTCAAATGTGTTAGGCAAAAGTGTCTATTGGTAGCTTCTACTTCTCCCTGGAAGTGGATCACTGTCCTTTTGCTTACAAAGAGAGTTGGGACTCTGTCCATGTGGCTGCAAATCACAGATGGGACACCCAGGTGCCAGGGACTCAGAGCACCTGGGCCAGGTTGACCTGGCCCAATTAATTGAGGCAACAGGTGAGCTGATACCAAGAACCAAAATGACTAAATATTCCTCCCTCCCACTCTGCTTTGCAACACAGATAAAACCATCTGAAGTGGAAAACATTTAATATGTTAATGTATTAGCACTATTTCTTAAAATTCCTTTTTATTGTAACGACATTATCAAGTTCTGTGTATTTGAATAGATGTTTTGATCCTCAGTGAAACTCATGCTCATTCTTGATGACGGTAGAATCACAGTGAAGAGCCTGTCACAGAATAACTGAGTCCAACTTGAGATTACAGTGGGGTCACAAGGTTAGGGTCTGGATTATGCTGCTGATCCACCAGCAAACAAAGCTGTATAACACGAGGAGCTCTTTAAAATACAATCTTTGCTCCCAACTGCAGACCGTTGACTCAGAATGTCCTGGGATAAGGCCAGTTTGCAAAGGTTCCCGAGTGATTCCAGTGTGGCCAGCCGTGGGAGGCCACAACCAGCCATACAGCAAAATCATCTGTGCCCTTAGGATCAAAGTAGCTGAATGCTGTTCACTCCCCAAGCAATGAGTATCAGGTCTTTTTCTGGATATTACCATGACACATGGCAAAAGAGACATAGGGCTAGTGACTCTGCCCTTCAACTGTTCTAACTCAATGATCCAGTCACTAGTTTGGAAGCAAATGCTAACTGTTCATTGAGTCAGAATAGATGCGAGCCGGAAGGTGGAGTAGGAAACATAGATGTAATATGCTTTCCCCCCAAGGCAAGCTCTTTCTATTTCATTTGTTTTTCAAACTAAGAGACAGATCTCAGGTCACTTCACTTTATAAATAGGCTGAGAAACAGAGAAGTTAACCAATTCATGCAGAGTCCACGGAGATGCTGTTCCCTGGGTAAACTAAAGGGCCTGACTTCTCAACTTCCAGGTTAGTGCCCACAATTCCAGGGTCCTCAGGTCGAAGTGAAACCAATTCACTTACGGAGCTAAAGCTCTCGGGCTAACTGGGAATTGATAAGAGAGGTGGTCAGTTGCTTGAACACCTGGTCCAGTGTCTGCTGGGTTATGTGCACTGTTCTACGAAAGTTTGGGCCAGGCTCCACTCCATTGTTGTGCACATGCAAAGACTTATCATCAGGTATCAAAGGGCTCTTTGATTTCCCTCCTGTGGGATTCAGAGACAGTTTTCGCTCTTTGGTTTGCTGCTCAATGTTTAACAACAGGCTCCAGAAAAAGGTAGAGCCCCCAACCTGTAGCACTTACCAATTTCAATGGTGTAAATACTGTCATCACAGCCAATTTCAAGCCACTAAATCAGTAGCAATCCGCTGAAAACGTAACAATGTGTATTCAAGAGCCAGAAGGAGCCTGCGCCAGCACAGCACTGCCTCAAACTCTGGTGGGTGAGCGCCAAATAGGAGAGGCTAGCAGCACTCCATCCCAGAAGGCGGCATTCTACTTTGGTTAGTTCTACTAGTTTTTAGTATATGACTAGATCCTTCAGGCTAAGGACCCTGAGGTGTTCAAAATATTTCCTAATTACATGACTCTTTGGAACCTCTCAACAGAATCCTCATGACTTTAGGAGATTACTGGCCTTGGCTTCTCTAGTTGCTAAGGCTCACTGTCTTTAATCAACTGCCATTGCAGCCATGTTTGGCTCACCTTTTTTCACATCCTCAACCGCCCATTTCCCCAACTCTATAAGGATCCATGTTCCCTTGTTCCTTATCCCTCTGACACAGCCCAGAATTCACAGGCATCCAGGACTCAGAGCAGCAGGGGAGAACAGTGACCCAATAAGCTTGCCAGCCTCCCTCTGTGCCTGGAGAGGCTCTGTGGCCCCAGTGTGCCTCCCACCCTGCCAGGGGACATCTGGCTCAGCTCATGCAGGGGCTAGCACGTGCTAAGCGAGGCTGTATCTATCCTGGGTGCAGTCCCTAAAAAAAAACACCACTAAATCAGAAGGCCACTAGGCAAGCTGTGGGTGGAGGCGTCTTGTGATGCCTTGCCTTTAGCTAAGCTAGTGTAAGGTTGAACCCTGGTGAAAAACTACCAACATTTGACCACAGCCATCTCGGCCTAAAGCTGTAGTGCTGCGCTCCTTCTCCCTCAAGGCTCATTCTGAGAGAAGGTCCCACTTACTAAGTGTTTAGAAATCAGTTAAACCTGGTGAATCACGGAATAGTCTTTGTTTGCAAATTAATGGTTTTTCTGATGGAAGTCATTCCTAGGTGGGTTTAATTAAATCCTTCAGAAGGCATGCTGGAAAAAATGGACTTAAATTCCTCAGACACAGTAAGTGGCTGTGGGTTTTTATTCTGTATGTAGTATATCAAAGTGAGATCACAAAGGATCAATTCTACTTTCCTTGCCGTAGTAGCATACGATCCAGGTTCTTTAAAACATTTCTAGACTGTGAAAGTTTAAAACCCAACTCAGGCATTTTCTATATTGCGTTTAAAAGGCCAGGGTAGGGGCCTACTTCTGTGTCTGTTCCTGACAGTCATCCACATGAGCTTGCTTCTCTGTGCTGAATGGGCCGCTTCTTGTTTTCATCGAGTCAGGTACCTGTTCAGGTGTCTTTCTTTATTCACAACACACTGCATGTAGTGTTCATTCTCTGGTTCTTTTCTGGGCACCAACGAGAGATGTTCATAGCTATACGCAAAAATGACTGGATAGTGACCTCTGTTCACTGTGAATAAATTCATAGTAAAACCAGCTTCAAGGCACCCTCCCCTCCCACTAGATTTTCAGCTGAGAAGGGAGCTGGGTAAGAACAAAATTGCTAGACAGTGGAAAAGCGCTGGTCAATGTATGCAGATGGAATAAAGTCGTTAATGTACTGATACAAAGGCAAGGGAGGTTTCTCTGAAATCTGGAAATCTAGGCCATTTTGCAAGACAGAATAATTGGCCTCTATGTTAAAAATGCTCTTCCACCACATTTCAGGATTCAGATCTAAGCCCCTACTATCCAGAAAAACTGGGCTGAGATTCAGCTACCAAGTCTCAGCCATTAACACTGAAACTCTCCCAAGACATGGGTCAGGCAAATAGCAAAACATCGTGCAGCACTGTCTACTCCAGGCACAGCCACCTGGGGCCACGGCAGAACTTCCTAGATCAAAGATATTGTTTCAGTTCTGGACTCCAGACCAACATGATCGACACAGAGGTGACTGCTGTTCAAAAGCAGGAGGTGACTGGCCCGCCCGCTAGTTAGCAGAACTCAAGTCTGAGTTTACCGCACAGTGCTGCCTCCGTGCTTCACACGGAAAGTTGAAAACCCACAGTGCCAGTTCTGACCTGGAGTCAGGACAAGAATGTATGTGTGTCTTCTTCCACTTCACCTGCGCGGTTTCACCATTTTGCTGTAGTGCTATCTAAAAGTAGGTTTTATCCATGTGGGATGAGGAATAAAGTTCTTTATAGAGTGATGAAACCAAACAGCCAAGTAGCAGGAGAACAGTAAATGATAAGTTACTAAAGAAGTGAATGAGAACCGTGCCAGGTGTGATGAGGGCACCCTCCACCCCCCTCCACCCCACCCCACCCCCAAACACACACGATGTGTTTGTTTTGGAAAATGCCATGTGCTGCTGAGGGACTGGCATGGAAGACTTCCCTCCTTCCCAACACATCACAGCTTCCCTGGTCTCTGGAAGAGGCAGCGGCCCCCCAAAATCAGACTCATGCTTCGGTGAAAGGCAGCTCCGGCTGGCTGAGGAGCCGGCCACCAGCCTGACCGAGCCGTGGGGACCAGGAAAAGCCAGCACTGCTGGACTGAGGAACATGTAAATATCTCTGCCTTCTTGGTGAACAAGGATGATCTTCTTTCTTTCGTAGAGGTAATCGCGTGCATATTGTGACTGTACTTTGTGAAGAAAATGCGATGATCTGCTTCGACGGCTCCCACACGTACCTGTTAAGTGTGACCATGCCTGCCTCATGTGCCAAACAGTGCTGAATGCGTTGTTTTTCAATAAACTGTTTTATTGTGCATTGGATGACGCTGCCTGTTATTTCTTGCCCACTGGGAAGACGCCACACACACACAACACACCCACACATCTCATCTGATGAAAGATTACATGCACCCTCATTTTTCTCCTTTCTCAGTGTGTGAGGAATTCCCCTTGGGAGCCTGTAGGCTACAGAAAGGTTGGGCTTGACTGTCTGCTGCCATGAGCGAGCAGCAAATACTAAAAGCACCTCCATGCACAATTTTTCCACAGTCTTTTAATTGCAAAGCATGCAATAGGCCATAAGATTATTAATAATTATACATGACTCGGGAAAGTTACAGTCACATGCATCATTT